TTTAGTAAGAGCATTAATTCCTTAGATTCAGATGTATTTTGTAACACCCTATACAAGGAAAGCTAGAGCTGGATATCATGTCCCGTAGAGATATGACTCGAAAGATTGTCCCATGTGAATATGAATCAAAATGAACTTGAAAGAATCCTCCTTTTCTAATCGTTCTGGCAGGGATCAGTGAGGGAACTAAACTAGCTTATTTGTTGTCTAGCCTTAGAACCAGTTATTGATCTATATGAACGACAAGAAACTAGCCACTTGAAAAGGGACATGGACTACTACTGAATAACAGAGACTTTCTTTATCCTTTATCCCTTGTCTAGAAAGGGTACTGGCTCGAAGACAGAAGCACTCGAACGTGATTCACTTCTAACATTTTCCCCTTACCTGTAAATAAGCATAATAAAGGGGTTACCCCGAAAGGAGACAGAGTGACTCGCTAGAAAGGAACTGTCCTTTCCTTACTCTGTCGATGGTATACCTGAGATGGCAGTCTTTCTCCTTGGCTTGTACTCGAGATACGATGTTCGAAAGACAACCCAATCCTTTTCCAGTAACCATTCATTCTGAGTAGGAGTTCGGATCTATGTTCAAAGGAGGGAGTCTATTAGCAGAGCGTTGATAATCGGGTTCTTGCCTTTCGTTTTGACTGAAGCATTTTCATCCCTTGCGTTGGTTTGAATTTCACATTATCTGGTCACTGGTTTGAAGTGAGTGCTACGTGAGTGTATGGAGAACCTAATGTTCTTATTTACTTTTTGGACATGTTTATGCCATTTATCAATCACAATAAAGTGCGGTTTCATGCTCGCAAAGAGACCCAACATTTATCCTGAATTTCTGTAGGATTCTATCTTCTTCCTTAGTGAGTAGTGGGAGACCTTAACAACCTAAGTAGAGTAGCAGTACTTGCCTTTTTCTTAGAAAGTGGATTTTGGAAGTCTATAGAATAGGGACTCCCCGGCCAATAAAGAAAGAGTTTGTTAACCACTCAGAGCTCTTTTGCAGTTAAGGATATCAGCTAGTTCGTTGGTTGGCTCGTCGATTAGAACTTTAAGTAGCTTTTTTGGACCATCAGGTTTGACTCCTAGCTCTTTTCTTTGCTAGTGAATGGAGGAATGCTAGTTTGGTTGGTGGAGATGGATCCCGAAAAACGAAACTAATGAACATGAATCCCATCCATAGAAGTCAATCTGAGTAGTTCTCTCCCGTACGAAAAGTAGAATCCGCGGATGAAAGAGTGGACGAGCTTTCAATTACATCGTGTTGGCCGATAACTCTCTGGTATCCGCTCATGGATGGTAGTTAACTGATTGGAGTTTATGTAACAATCCCATCCTTTCTAGTACTTGTGGAGAATCCACACCAGTAAGAAATAACTTTAGTTGTTGATGGAAGAGTGCCCTATTAACTTTGGAAACCATAGTGACACCTAGCAATACAACTGAGGTCCTTCGTGTTTGTAATATTATTATGACACAGGCGGAAGACTGAGCGCTATGTCCCGAGCATTCACCAGATACCCCTTAACCTGGGTCTGGTCTTTGCTCCTACATGGAAATCTGTACCTAGTGCGTCCAACTATCACCGATCTTGCAGATGCCATTCACACACCGCTCCACATACATCACCCAGATTACTAAAGTAGTTGAACCATACAATTGGGTTAACCCTGACATCTGTAGATGGCAACCGAAGTGAACAGAGAGTGGCCTAGTAATCTTCTCCATCAGGGTAGCCACAGTGAGATAGAGTGGTGAAGCTGAGTTCCGAATGAAAAGAGAGCGAGCCGGGGAGACAAAAGGTATGACATTGGAAGTTGCTTCAAGGTAAGCCCCTGTCCCTGAATTGGTTATGCCCACGACTTGTATTAGAGAGTGCTCTAATGGCATTGGGGGCACAATTGAGATGCCATTTCGGGGGTTCTCATAGAGGAACTGTTCGACATAAGGCAAGTGATGAGACAGAGGAATTCCCCACGATGAGAGGGACGGCCTCGGTCCAATAATGCAACTCAGAAGCGGAAGCTGTGGGCTTCCGAGAGCCCCAGCATAGAGGTGATCCTCTCCCTTTGCACCATTGCATGGCCCTCTTTCTTTGGTCGCCAAAAACAACCTCAATTGTCGATTGCTTCGATCCGTGAAGAAGAGGCTAAAAGAATTCTTTCAACACTTGCATAGCTTGCATAGACTGCACTCTCATATTCAAAGCTTTCGCATAGCTGAGGAGATCAGCAACACTGTGTCTACGATTCACCCCTGACCTAACCTTCCGTAGAATTATTGATCGGCTCGACTATAGAACCTGACATTGATAGCACTATTACCATCAAGAACCCAGCCTCGGGCATTGGGGACACCGTCTTCGAAGGTTCAGGCTTGCGCCGGGGAGTCGAAAGCACCTCTATGAGAGTGGTGAGGAAGACTGATTCGGTCATCAGATTAGACTTTCCGTACGGAACATCGCCCCTTTCAAGCACCAGAACCCGCTCATACTCAGATAGCATTGCTGCCGGCAGCCGGTGGCCTCCTCTAGTCCTCTGATGGGAAATCAATCCGTGGCATTGAAGACAAAACCCAAATAACTCAAACCTGTAAATAGAAGAAAGTTTGATCAAAACAAGTTCAGTTAAAGGATTGAAAGAAAAAAGACATTAAAGAAGAAGAGAAAGAATCAGAGGGTTATCGAATGATTACTTTGTTGAGACTGTGCTCTGGCCAAGGATATGAGAGTGAAGATCCTAAAGAGAGGGGTGGAAAATGAACTCAATCAAAGAAAAAGATGCCTGAGGACTGACAATGGTGGAGAATACACGTTGCAAGAGTTTGATGATTCAGGTCCGTCATCCGTTTAGCTGCTCACACAACACACTCCACAACAAAATGGAGTTGCAGAAAGAAGGGCGAAACTTGTCGAAGCATGATGCGCATGCGAAGAACGTACAACCACAGTTTTGAAAAAGGAAGGAAACCCCAAGCTAAATTAGCTTTTCGTTACCAACATTGAAAAGTCTTTGGCTCCGTCTTCTATGTGTTCTGAGCAGTTACGGACGAAGCTGGAAAAGAAGGCGGGCGGGATAGTTGGTGCATCTTTGTCGGCTATGATCAGCGTAGGTTGAGGTGCATTGATCCGACTACAAAATCTGTATCTCCATATGTCGTTTTCGATGAGGCATCATCATGGTGGTCCTCCAAAAATGTAGTACTACGGTATTTTGGGATGCTAGACTTCCGTATGCGGGCACAAGCACCTGAGCAACAAGAGCCTGATATTGTGAGTCACTCTGAACCTGAGTCAAAAAAGCTACACGAAGCCCACCTGTCAGAAAAAAAAACCCAAGGCCCGCGACCCGTTAACAAAGAGTGATGCATGTCTAGAAAAGAGCAACAAGATATTTAAGAGGATCCCTACTGAAGGCACTGTGCTTGATAGCCGACTTAGAAGATCGACAAGGAAGGATCAGGAAGCCCAATCAATCCCAAGTATAGAGAAGCCAGCTATGCGGACACTGTGACACTTTCACAGTCTTGTGCCTCTTCAGAAAGTGGAAGAGCCAAGCTCATTTGAAGAAGCGGCTGGCCTGAAAGAGTGGGGCAATGAAAGAGGAGATTTCTGCCTGAACACCTTAAATCAGAATGAGACATGGGAACTTGTCCCATTACGAGAAGGAGGGAGTGAAGCCAATCGAATTGTCTCATTCCGGGTAGTCAGGATATGACAGGTGAAGCGCAAGAGTGATGGCTCCATTTTGATCTTGTTGGCGCGATTGGTTGCTCGGGGCTTCTCACATCTCACAATGAATGGGGTGGGATTGATTATGAAGAAAGATTTGCTCCTGTGGAGAAGTTTACATCTATTAGAATTGTCGCTGCTATGGTCGCTCATTTGGATTTTTCATGAGATTAGATGGGGATGTCAAAACAGCAATTTGAAATGTGAACTCGAGGATTTATATATATGGTACAACCTTCAGGCCAGGTTTTTAGGTTCTTGGGCATGAAGATCAAGTTTGCAAGCTAAGAAAGAAAGTCTTTCTTTATATGACTTGAAACTTTCTTCCTGACAGTTGTACGGTACCTTAAGTTTCATCAAGCTATTAGCGATATGGGATTTCATTTGACGATCATTGTATTGAAACTCAAATAATGGATGGTGAGATTAGAATATTGTCAAACTATGTTTATGATATCCTTATTGCCGGAAATTCCTTGTTTGCCATAAATCAAACTCTAAATTGGGGCTGGGTGATGAAGCTGATTCTGTGTTTGAAAATAACGAGTGGCTGTGTTATCTGCCCGGACAACAAGTCAAGGTAAGCTTCCCTCCCTCCTGCCCGCTGACTGGCCACGTTACTAAGAACCTAGGAACTGCTGATTGATTTTGAGCCATAACTCTTTCTTATAGTTGGCAAGGCTTTTTCGGGGACTAGCCCGCTTCCCATTACTCAACGAAGGCTTCCCATTGTTCGGTTCTTTCTGGAATGTGGGATCATTTTAGATCGTACCCGAGCTGCCCACTCCCAACCTTTACTCAGTCGTCAGGTTGCATTTGAACTATAGTGACTGAAATTCGAGCCCGGGTCTAGGGCTGGCTGCATCGGGGAGGGGTAGAATCAATGGATCGAGTGTATGGATTCAATTTCTTCTCGTCTTGGGGATCATCTCTCCTAGTCTTGATCTAGCCGGTCCCCTCAGAATGATCTCGAGCTACTTACTCCCTCTCCTCTTCTTGTGGAGCTACTTCCTCTCGCTGCTTCGTTCCTCTCCGTCAATTCATTTGTTTAGGGTGAGAGTGAAAGCCCATGCAGTCTTTCATCTCTATCCAAAGGGGACAGACTTGCCGGCAACCAACTAAACTCCTTGTCCGGTTCAAATAGACTGCCTGATGACCTCCACTTATTTTTTATACGTACATGGATGGAATGGATGCATTTTCGGCCTCTGATTGGTCCTTCTCAAGCACACAATTCCTAATATCAATATCTCAGGGCTAGGGATGCGATACGGGGAACCTCTTAGTACGGGGCAAGGGGAATGCATGCTATTTCCATTTCTTCACATCCTACCCAACCCAGCTATGTTGTCTCGTAGATAGCAAGGTCAGTTGATTGTCGCTCATGACAAGGCAAGGAAATTCCACCCGCACTTTGTTCTCGGACTAGTCCCGGTAGAATTTCCCGTAGTCCTGGTGGATACACATTCTAAACCACATGGGAGCTTCTGTAGCCAGGTTACCAGCCATCTCGATACTCAAAAGATTACGAGACTTTTGCCCCCACTCGAATTTACCCGTCTCCACCGGAAGCTGTGCAAGGGAAGTGTCCGGGTTCCCTTGATGAGGAAGACGAAGTGCGGGTGTGCATCCGATAGATGATTCGATTCAACTTGCTAGCCTAACCACGTCTCGAGTTTTGATGAGTCTAAAAAAAACCGATGAAAGATGCGGGTACATTAGAGATTCGAAGGTCTCCGTTTTCCATTTGATAGCGTTTATTAGGATTAGGTCAACTCGAGATAGCAAGAATATACAGGATTAATATGGACAACTTTTCTCCTTACACGGGAAGCCACCACAAGAAAGAAACCTTCCGCCCCAAAGATGATTGATGTTTTCATTCGAGAAAGACATCCCTGGCTTAACTCAAAAATGGGTAGCTCATTTGCTCCTATGGCCTAACTTGCAGCCCCCTATGGAAAGTCCGAGTTTCAAGCCCTAAACGACCTTCAGGTCCACCCGCCTACTCAAGAAATCCGAGACCTGTTGTAGGAGAGAAGCTACTTGACTGATAGTTTAGATAGTAAAGGCAGATGCTATCTGTAGATTCAGTCTGAGGCTATTGGTTGGAGAGATGATCTTAAGCTGACGCATATAACCCTACCTACTCAAAGGCGTGCAAATCAAAGCTCCTCCTCTTTTTCCACACACAGAGAGACGTCTACCTCGACTATACCATATTGAGCTTTCCTCCTGACATTGGAATATGGATTGAGAAGGGGGTGAGTGGATGAGACCTTCGAGTCGCGTCTCAACCATTTCAGTCTATATAATGACTTTGCTATAGAATTATTAAGAGAAAGATATGCTTCGCCCGCCTGACTGGAGAGGGCGGGAGGTTTGAATGAGTGACTTCCCGTTTTTCAGTCAGTAAAGTAGACTGACAAAAAGAGGAGAGGTTTAAGCACTTTTGATTCGATAATAGCCAATAAGACAGTTTGCTCTTACGTACCGCTTGTGCGTTGTCTCTCTTGTCTGTGTGTACATACTTTAAGCAGCCTTTTCATAGATCACGGGTCAACTCTTTTTAAAGGAGCCTCCTGAAGCCAACCTTAGAATAACGGACTGCTATCCTCTTACTTATACAGGAACAAAAGAGGGCCCTAGTGGAACAAGCGCTTTAGGAAAAGAGCTATTACCTTGTTATCGGGAATAGAAAGTACTGGAAGCCAATATAGGGTCGAAAGTTGGACTATTCCCTTATCTAAAGGCAAGCAAGCCCTAAAGTAAGTAAAGGGAAGGAAAGGGCTTCGCCTGACTCATTCTTCAGCCTCAGGCTCAGGAAAGACAAGAGTCAAGTACTACTTGACTAAGGCGATAGGTGGACAATCTGACCTTACCTTTATCTCGATATCACTAAGCCACAGTAGTCTATTGTCTAGATCTGACTACTATTCGTTAGACTCTTTCTATGGAATAGATGAAGTATTCGAGTAGTCTCTAGTTTGATATTGTAGTCGTAGTCTCGTCTTTCTAGTAGTAGTCTAGTGTTCAAACAAATAGTCTTTGCCTCATATACATTTTTGTATACACTAAAGTATACAGAAGGAGGGAAAGGAACAAGGGTCAAGAGAAGTCTGCTCGGTTTATGAGCCCCTCTCCTCTTCTCGTCGAGCGGCTTCTCCCCTCTCCTCTTCTGGTTGAGCTGCTTCGCACCTTTCCGATGAATTCTTCTTTAAAGACCATTTATTAGAAAATTCTATCCTCTGTCTATTTTTTGGGGTATTTTCGTCCATTTTCTCTGATTTCTGGAGGTAAACAAGGATCGGTCTCACTGCTTCGCACCTTTCCGATTAATTATCCTTAACCGATATGACCTTCCCTTCACTTTACAGAAGAGTCAATTCATTCAATCTATAAAGAAGAATCAGAGAATGAAAGAAAGAGTGAACTCCTTCACCTATCGGTCTCATTGCTTCGCTACTTCATCTTTACAGTCGGTAAAAGACAAAGAGAGAGAAAGAAAGTCAAGAAAGAGAAGCTCAATCACCTTTGACTCTATTTCCTGTAAGAAAGATGAATTCTCTTTTTCCTTAAACCTTTGACTGATTGAACGAGGTAAAGCAATTCCATTGGCTGGCTGGCTGAACCTCTCCCTTCTTGAACTGTAAACAAGGTCTCATTGCTTCGCCCCTATATTTCTTCTTTCACAGTAAACAAAGACGAAAGAAGAATGAGACAGAACTACTAAACGAGGGTTGAACTATTCTTTCTCTGATCCTTTCTTTCACTCTTTCACATATGCTGGATGAGAAGAAGGTCAAGCTCCTGAACCAGAACCCATTTATTCTTTCACTAGGTGTTTGATTGAACAGGAAGGAAAGACTCAACAAAAATGATCCTTTGTCCCTGATTTCACTCTTTCACTCGGCAAAGCAGCTGAGGATTGACTCTCCCTTCTTTCACTTAGTCTCCTGTAAGTAAGAAAGATTAATTCTCCTGCCTGAACCTTCTTGAACTGTAAACTCATGCACCTCTCCCTTCAAACACGAGGTAAATTCCGTTATTGTGAGTTATTCAACAAAGACTATTCTTTCACTCTAAAGCAAGGTCAAGCTCCTGAACTTGATTGAACAAGGTAAACTCCTAAACTACTTCCCTTCCCTTCTTTCACTGTCAACACTCAACTCAAGACTCAACTCAAGATTAATTAGACTGAACAGAAAGGAGCTCGATAAATGGAAGGGTGTTTAACGAACTGTAAACAAGGGGAACTCCTGAACTCAATCACTTGTGCCTTCTTTCTGTAGGTCTCTTTCTTCCTTCACCAGATTGAACTGAAAAAGAAAGAGAAGCTCCTTCACCTATTCTGTATGGTCTCATTGCTGAGCTCCGAAACTGTAAACACTCAAGATTCCTTCTCCCTACTTACTCCTGAGCGACTTTTCCTTCTTTCACTCGGTCTCGTGGCTTCGTCGCTCCTGAACTGGAATCGGAACCCTCTTTCTCTTCTCCTTCCCATATTGTTCTTGAACAGTAAACTAAGCCTCAATATTAATTCGACTGAACTACTTCTTTCACTCGGTCTCTTTTCTTTTCTTTGATTCTGCTTTCAGAAACATTAAACAGACAGAACTACTGAAGGAACCTTCTTTCACTCTTTCACTCGTTAAATAAGTGTGTGTTTTATTCTTGATCTTATGCTCTCTTGGACTATTACTTCTTTCACTCAGTACAGGGTAAACTAATTCATTGACTCACTCTCCCTGAACTGTAAACACTCCTTATTCATTTGACGGAACAGTCAGTCTCGACTCCTTATTCATTCGAGAGAGAGAGTTTGCGGAATTGGCTTTCTTGCTTGGGCTCCTCTTGCTTGCTGGGTTGTAAGGAACTGGCTTGCTTTCACTCTTTCACTCCTTTTCTTTTCCGTTATTCCCTGAAGTTCTTGTTCTTTCCCTTCTTTCACTTGGTAAAGCTGCTTCAATTCCATTGCCTTAACCTCTCCAACTCGGTTTCATGTCTTTGGCCCTTCCCCTATATTCCCTTCCCTTGCCGAGCTAGCTTTCTTTGTTTTATTCCCTTCTTTGTCTTCGTCTTCTAACTTTGACTCCCCCTGAACCTGTCCCTTCTTTCATTGAACTCGGTAAAGCTATTTTACGGTCTCTTCTCTTTCTCCTTACTTAATCTTGTTATGGTGAGTTATTCGAGAGGTAAAGCAGCTGGATGAGAAGGAAGAAGGTAAAGCATATGAAATCCTTCTTTCACTCTTAAGAACCATGAATTAGAAAATTCTATCTTCTGTCTATTTTTAAGGCTATTGTTGAGGTATTTACGGTTAGAGGTAATTCATTAGTCAATCCTCAAGATTTATTCTTGAACCTATTCTTTAAACTCGGTCTCGCAGCTTCGCTCTTCTCACTGGATGACAAGTTCCAGAAAACTTGGGAGGACATATGCAATGAGTTCAACAATAAAGATAGTTACAAGATTGAGGTCGATGTAACCAAGTGTGACTTAGAAAGCATCTAGAAGCAACCTAACGCTTCTCTGAGTACATTACCAGATAGATGGAAGAAAAGGGCATCCCAAATGACAACCAGACCCCTAGGGGCAACTGAAAATGATAGTTCAAAACCTCTTACCAGTGTATCAAAAGCATATGTTATGTATGATAGCTCCCCAACTTACTTTAAAGCTCTCATAGAGATCGGGTAGAGAATTGAGAATTCCATCCAATCAGGCTTCGATGCATTAATCCTTCCTCGAGCCAATCTCCGTTTTGTGGTAGGGCAAGCACACAGTGAAGTATCAATCAAAACGTACACTCCATCTCTGCCTAAAGTCTCGTTCCTCTCCCTATCGGTCTCGAATCTTTTCTTTCCTCTCCACTCTACTTTTCTAAGGAAATCCGCCGAAACATTATACGGTTCCTAAATCTGCTTATTCATGTGGTAGCGCTACATAAAAGGATCTCACTCAACTCAACCTATATACCCTTTCTTGCCTCAAACTCTTTTACTGGTTTTATGGCTTGCGATGGGAATTTATAGCTTGGCAAGGGTGTATGCGCTTTCCTTGCTAACGGAGATCTGCTTGTCTTGTGTCTATGCCTCGGCTTCGGAAGATGGGCGTATGGATCTGTTTTTATATCTCAAACAGCTGCGTAGTAAGATGAGAGAGAAATGGGTAGTATGGGGGGGCTTTGATTCAGTACTCTTTTTGATGCTGAAAAGACCACCGGAGGCAAGGGTAGGCAGATGACCGGGGGTTTGGAGGGAACTACTAAAGGAATGTGCATAAAAAGGTCCGTATTTTCCCGCGAAAAATTGCAAGTGTCGGAGGTAGCTGCATTAGAGACTCAGCAGGTGTCATTGTTTAGCATGATAAAGAAGTAGGTGGCCACGGTTGCCCCCTCTTTCTTTAACCCATTTATCAATAAGGGTAGTCAGGGAAAAAGAAAATAGAGGCAGAGGCTAAAGCAAGCCTAACTCCAAGGGATTCTCTTAGCTAATCAGTTTGACATTACACTTAATTACATAGAGAGGGGCGAAGCTGCGAGACCGAGTGAAAGAAGTGAGAGAAAAATAGCTTGACCTCGTGTTTGAAGGTGAATGAGAGGATTGAATTGACTCGATTGCAAATTCGATTTGTTTTTCGCAACTTTACCGAGTGTTTGAAGGTGAAGGATCATCATTGCTTTAGAGTGAAAGAAGGGAGAGGGAAGAGGAGAATATGTTTTACCTCGTTCAATCAGGTCAGGAGAAAGAACCAAACACCTATTTACCGAGTTGACTCTGTCTTCGTCTTCTTCCTTTGACTCTATTCCCTGACCCTCTTGATTTAGATTCTTACGTGGGACTTTCAAAAAGAGAACCCGGCTTACTCTATTACCAGACCGGAACAAAAACATGAGAGGAAATTCAATCCTAAAGCTTTATTCCCTTCCCTGATTGAATAGTAAACAAAGACTATTCTGGAAACACTCGGGAAACCTTTGTCTGTATGGTCTCATTGCTACGCTCACTCATTCGCCGGAGCTATTCTTTTCTGTCTCATTGCTTCACTCCTCTCACTACTAAACTAGACCTAACCTTTTCTTCTACTCTATTACCAGATGTAAACTCGGGAAAGCATATTCCTTCTCACCTATTGATTCTCCTATTCATTGTTGGAAGGAAAGACATGAAAGAACAGGAAGGAAAGAGGAAACAAGAAGAAATGAATTAGTAGCATTTCCAGCCGAAAGCAAGAAACCTGAACCTATCCTTTAACTGTTTTCAAGAAAGAGTCAATTAATGAATTAGCTACTGAACCCGGAACCCTTCTTTTAGAGAAAGAATCGTCATCAGATATTCTATTCCTTTACAGGGGAGGAAATGAATGAAAGAAGGATCAGCTCCAGAACTCGATCACCTTCTTTCACAAGGGAAAGCATATTCAATCCTTCTTTCACTCTTTTTCGTGTAAGAACCATTAATGATTTTCTTGATGCTCCATATAACTGTCAAGTTTCATTTTGCTGATTTCCTTCCTGTGAAGTCGAATGAATGTTGAATTTGATGCTCCATATAATTGTAAAGTTTCGTAAGAGCTTTTTCACTAACAGCTGCTGCTTCAATTCATTCTTTTGATGCTCCATATAAATGTAAAGTTTCGTAAGAGATTTTTCACTAACAGCTGCTGCTTCAATTAATTCTTTTGATGCTCCATATAAATGTAAAGTTTTGTCAACCTTAGGTAATTCAGCAGGATGAGAAGAAAGAGAAGCGGCTGAACCTTCCCTGGAACCTCTATTCCCTTCCCTTATTTCAGGAGGTAAACTGTAGTAGGATTCTTCTTTCACTCTTAAGGACCAATAATGATTTTCTTGATGCTTTACAACTGTAAAGTTTCATCAACCTTAGGTAATGAGGCAGGATGAGAATCAGGTCAAGCTCCGGAACCGAAACCCATATATTCTTGAACCTACTTATTAATGATCCTGAACAGTAAGGAAAGAATAACCTCTCGATTAATGATCCTTTCCCTTCACCTCTCCAACTGGGTTTCATAATTTCATTCCCTGTCCCTTCTTTCATAGTAAGAAAAGAAGAAGAAGCAAGATGAATTAAACTGATTTCACTCTTTCACCTTTACAGTCGGTAAAGCAGCTTCTCTCCTGAACCTCGGCTTCTTTCTCTGATCCTTTCTTTCCTTTGATTCTGCTTGAAAGACTCAACTCAAGATGAAACTCAACAAGATGAATTATCCTGAACCTATTTACCTCGTTCAATCAGTCCCATGGAGGGTTACGAGAATCTTCTTTGTATAGGGAAGTTTACCTCGTGAAAGAATAGTTCAACCCGAGTGAAAGAGAGAGAAGTCAGAACGTAGATTAAAAGCTATCTTGTGATAATTGCTTTAGTTTCGAGTTCCATCAGGTTGTTTAGGAGAGAAGCTGTGAGACTGTAAAGGAGAGGCATGTCTTCCTTCTTTCAAGCAAGAAAGAGTTAGCTTCTTTCTTTCTCTTCAGAGGAGAACAACAAAGGGTTGGACCTGACTTGCCTACAACCAAAGCATTAGAAGCCCTTAATTAAAGAGGCCTTTTAGTCAATCTGGAGTGTTCCCTAGCTTGATTCTTTCTTTCTTTGCTTCCGTCGCTAAGTGCCCGCCCCTGACAAACTTTCTGTCTAACTGTCTAAGATATCTTGCTCGGTGTGCTCCTTACTCGTTTAGCTCGGCAAGCAAGTAAGTAATTTAGTTTAGCCTCAGCCTTTCCTTTCTCAGCTAGGTGACCTGAGCTTGGGGATTTTGTTTAGTTACTAAGGGAGTAGGGAGGAGTCAAAGGGTGTGAATAGATTGTAGTGAATTGTGGGAGTTTCTAAGGAAAGAAAGCTATCTTCTCAAAGTAAAATCTGAAAAAGGATGGAGTTCCAGCAAAACCCTTTCTAAGGATGAGGACAGTAGTTCGGGAGTTCGCTCGAAAGAACTGGCGTACCAAACTTTCGATCACTCTGTTAGATCCAAGGCACGCCTTCATCAAGCACTCGAACAAAGAAGATATGCACCAAACAAAGAGAAGTTTTAGATTGAGGGATTGATGGTCTAGGGTTTTCTGCTGGAGCCATGATTTTCATCTCCGCAATGGTGATCCAATGCATGCGCCTATGTTGGGTATCGTGACTCCATCTGTTGTCTTCTTCTTGGAGTTTCGCTTGTTTTCTATCATCTCGACTTTCGAAATTGGCCTGACCCTTGAAGGTCCTACGAAGCTTGTCTCACGCCCCCCTCTCACAATAAAGCTAGGGTTTGTGTAGAAATTGATCTTATCAAGGAAAACCTCCTAAATCGTGTTTTGATTGGATCGACTGTGTATGTATGGATCACTAGCAAGAAATCGTTGATTCTGGAATACCTAAGTTCTGCACGCATTACACAAGGTCATGCCCGTCACGAATGCAAAGTGGCAAATAAGGACCCTGGTGTCAACGCATCACCGAGAATGTCCTATGTTCCAAGAACCAATGTTACCCAGCCAGCACCTACCACTGAAGTTAGCCTTCGTGATTCAGATGTTGTGCTGACATGCAACCCATTGAAGATTGTCCTCGGGGCGAAGAGCTTGAACTAGATAAAAATTCCCAAGCTTCTGTTCTTCAACAACCGGAGTATTTAGCTATTGGAAAATCGCCTTCGGTTAACCCCCTAATACCGGCGGTAGCTCCGCCTCATGGGGACAGTAGGAAGAGGAAAGAGTTTGAAGAAAGTTTGTTGATAATAATAATAAAGACCCCCTACAGATCATGCATTGGATCCATCTGGCCCGGAATCAAATGAACCGATGGTTAACCCTCTTTTTTTTAGTGATTGCCATAGAGAGAGAAGTTCGCGCTTTTTCCTTAGAAGGAAGGTCCTCAAAGCCTATTCATTCCAATGAGAATGATGAAGAATCCAATAGCTCTTGACCCACAATCATCGAGGAGAAAGATTTGAAACCGAAGCCTCCGAACAAGAAAGCACCTGAGTAAGAGCTCAACTACTAGGGCACAAACCAAACTTGGGGCTAAGGCCCACCCCACTAGATTTCCTAAATTTCCACAATTGCAATTGTTTGGAATGCAAGGGGCGTCAGCAATGGCCCCACACATAGGCGTCTCGACGATCATGCTCGGACCGGGCTTGAGTCTTTGGTTGTTATCCTGGAACCAATGGTTAGAAGGACAAACTATATATCAAAATAAATAGAAGCGGAGATTGCGTATGGATGAATGTCGAACTTCTCGCTCTCTTGCAGACCCACCCTGCCTCTTGGTCTTTTGGAGAGAAGATATTCTTGACCTATTCATGATTGAAGCCAATGCCGAATTCATTTCTACCAATGCATCAAATCTGAATTCAATCCCCTTACATAAGTTAACAAAGTCAGGGAGATTTCTCTTTACACAAAAGCTGTTAGCAAGGGTTCCAAACCTTAAGTGACTTAGTCAGTCAGTCCATTCACCGGTATGGCGAAGCAAGGAAAGCGGCTAGAAAGACAAAGAGAAAATGAGAACTAGCCTTAACATAACAGGCGCGGGAGAGTCACAAGGTTCGTTCATTAGTAAGTTATCAAAAGGTATTTAGTAGCCCTTTCATTTTCTTTAATAGAATGGGTAAGCCGGGTCAAGCAATTTTTCTATTAGCGGTGATAGCCTGTTTAAATTTCTCTCAGTTAAGATAGGTAAAGTGAAAGACTCTTTCGGGTGTTAGACCTAGCCTTGGGAGTCGAAATAGAAAACAACAGATTTTCCTGGAAGCGCTAGTGAAAATGAAGGGAAGAAAGACTTGTTGGGAGAGAAAGATGCTATATCAAAGGTGTCAAGCCTGACTTTGTTGAATTGAAGAGGTCCACCTCACCCCTTCCCCACTAACTTCTGTTGGAATGAGTGTGCCTCGAACGATTTCTACGCTTTCCGAAAAGAATCTCTCTAATCATCTGGAGGAAAATGAGCTTCCACAATGGAACGGAACTTGGAGGATGGATGTGGGTCCTTTCTCTTTAAGATCTTGGATCATCAAGTTGCATCATTATTCCATTTCCCTTTTGTCGATCATGAGAACATCTTTAGGCCGGTTATCGTCGTTGCCTAAAGTAAAGGACTCCTCAGTGTATTTCGTTTGGTCATTCAAAAAAGCAAAAATGGCTTAATGGTGTCGATACAATTCTTTCTTATGTCTGCTAGATGGCGAGATAATTCCATCTTGAAAAGAGAAGCAGCCTGGTCCCAGAGTTCTCGAAACTGAAGTGAAGATCCCTTGATTCAA